CTCTCTCTCTCTCTCTCTCTCTCTCTCCCCTTCCAACTTTCATTTCCTGAAGTGCTAGAGGCCGCCGTCCCCACTTCTCCCACTCATTTCTTGTTCAGTACGTACCCTCGCCTCGCCCTGTCTACTCTTGTTTCAGTCTCCTGTTTGCTGTGTTTAATGTAGGCCTAATCAACCCCCGGGCGCTCACTCGACCAAACGGGGCTTGATAGTGACCTACAAACAAAATCAGACTCAGATCAACGCGTTGAGGTTAGACCACTCGGGAAAAAAAGGGGGCGATTGGGGGGGGGGGGTTACTTCAATAATCCCATCGTGTGAATGTACGGGTTTATGGCGAGAAAAGTAGCAGAATCTACCCAAGTGACAATTGTACTTTTAGTTTAGTTTAAGTTAGGGTTTTACGATACTTGCAACACAACTGGGTCAAAATAACAAGTGCCGAAGATGGGAGGTGTTACTAGGAAGAAACATACAACGAAAAGAAGGAGGGGAGATAAGGACTATAATAATATGTATTAGACAGAAAAGAAGAAATGGTATAGGTTTAACGCCCATGTCAATACTATTAAGTTGTGCCAGAGGCGGGACCTCCGAGTTTAACGACCATCCCCGAAAGGTCCAAGCCAAGTGGGAAGTGCCCAAAGACACAACGTCGGACCGAGCTGAGGCTCAAACCCCCGAAACTGCAATCTCACAACTACGAGTTCGGTTGCCTAACCACTAGGCTATCGACGACACTTTCGCATATCTGCAGAAATTGGTGCATTGGTTGCTTCGTAAAAAGATTGATTCATATGCTCACTGATTGGCTAATTCAGAGATTTATAAAGATGGCAACTGTTGCAGAGCTACACCAACTACCTGGCCTGCGCGGATCTGGACTTGAAGAACGAGGGTCAGTACGTGCTGGTCAAGCGTCCGGTGGTGTCCATCTTGTACAAGGACGTGAGTGGAGTACTGTCCACTCCGGATCACCCCATGTTTATGATCAATGTCCCGGAGGTGAGTCACTCCCGTAGACTTGTGTCATCATCATCATCATCATCATCATCATCATCATCATCATCATCATCATCATCATCATCATCATCATCATCATCATTAAACAGCTACGTTTCCCTGATCTGTCTACCCATCTGTCTAGGTTCTCTAAGCAGGTTGCTCTGGGCCTTCCTCTGCCTCGTTTGCCTTCAATTTTGCCAGTGAGAGCTAGATGTTCAAGACCTTTAATGTCTATTCAAGTGTCCCAAAAACTGCATTTTTTGTCTACTTCTCAGCTTTTCCAGTAATTGGACGTTGCTTCTCGAACCTTTCTGCAACAAAGTTCTACCGGTTTGAGCTGTTATAGTTCTAGGCCAGGTTTCTATGTTATGTTCCCATCTTCTGTAAGGTCTCTTCCCCCCC